ACACACACACACACACATATATATATATATATATATATATATATATATATATATATATATATAAAACATAAATATAAAAGTGAACGTTGAAGTCAACACTCAGGGGCGACAGGCTGTTTCATGCTAGGCGCAATGAAACTGCCTCTGGGTGTTGACTTCAATGTTTACTTTTATATTTATATTTACATACGCTTTATCTCTGATATTGAGCACTTTATCCCATGAATATAGCACACCTTAAAATATATATATATATATATATATATATATGTTGGTGTGTATGCAAATTAAAATAGCGTACATACATATAGGTCACATCAATTAATTTCTTGTCTGACTTAAAACAGTTTATGAATGATTTTGCATTATGAATGCAAAAGGACATTTCTAAAAATATCGACATAATTGTAATTTCTTAAATGAACCTTTGTCAATTATTTTTAATTTTTAGCAATATTTCTTTCATTTTAATTTATGTTGTTTTTTACCGTAACTCGCATATCGTCATTCTAGGATCCTATATAAACAGCGTGGATCATAAATAAAGAATGACCCGATAAAAATGCTACTACTAATGTACATAAACAATAATATCGATGAATCAATAGTCGAAATAAATAAAAAACAAAGCTCTGTGTTTAGCTATGAATGACTACCGCCGGTTAGCCTTTGTAGCCTATTACGTGGATAGAAATTAGCTTTTTTAGTTTGGTTTGGTTTTTGTTTTTGTTTTTTTATAAGAAATTAAATAACATATTAACATATGCTTATATAGTAGTATAATTAATATGAATATTTTTTAATTCTAAAATCTTTTCCTTATAGTAACATGGCATTTTGCTCGATTCAAGTGTCACCGAGTATACCTCATGTTACCATACTCATTAGGGATTACACTAGGGTAATAATAATCACCCGACAAGCAGCAAGTCTATTGTCAAAATAAAATAAATTATTATATGACGGGTGCTGAAAAGTTATCTGTCCGACCTACTTTCAGAGAAATCTGAGCAAATATTAGATTGTTATTTGAAAAGATTTTTTGGTGAGATTGATCATTTTTCAGTATCCTCTCGGATATGATTATTACTACAGGTGAAATTAGTATCTACCTCCCTCAATAAGTACTAATTAATTAAATTATACATTCGTTAAAGAAAAGTAGAAATACTTCTGTCCGAAGAATCAAATGTAGTGCGTTATGCGCGCTGTAGATAGGATGGGAGAAATTTAAAAAAATAGATAGAATGATGTGTCGGTATATTTTGAAAGTATAATTTTAGAAGGTAATAGATTACTTAAGTGTCATATCTGAAATAGTAACACCTGCGTAATGTGTCAATGCAATTAAATGAATAAAACAAAACGTTTTGTTTGTTTCCTAAGCAAATTTTAGGCCGTTTTTTTTTCTATTAAAAGGTGAAAAAACGTCGCAAAATTGTCACAAAAATAGCAAAGAAAATCACAAGTGTTGGCTGAATAGAAATAAACGCACAAACACACACCGAGTAGATTACCTGCGTCTTCATGGAATACGGCAGCGCGTGGCACAACTGTACAGAGCTGATTGGACGCCAGAGGCATAAGTCTTTTTCTCCCTCTCAAAAGTAAATAACATATTTACTTTCGGTGAATTTTAATTGCAAACATAGCCCAAGGATCAGATCTTTTTCTCGTTTGCAAATATCCAAGGGAGATAATCCAATTATTGTACTATTTCGGATTCCATCGGGACAAGAAGATATCAAGTTAAAAATTCCGAAAATTGGTCTCTATGGTATATTTTGGGGAGGAAAAGGGCGGACCTGCTATGGATACAAGGGAGGGGTTGACTTTTCGCTTAAATCACAGATATTGTCTCAATAAAGAAATGTGTTTCATTTACAGAAAGAATATCGCTGTTCCTTTCTCTTAGGCTCCTTTTTTCCTATTTCCACCCTTTCGTCTCTTTCTTTCACTTTTTCTATCTCACTTTCCTCTTTTTTCTTAATCCTTTTTTTAAGCTACTCTGTTAACTCTTATTCACATATTAAGAGACTTTCTTCCATATTGTTCATATAAATAAGACAAATAATAGAAAACGGTTATTGATAAAAAAAAAAAATTATTCTGTTAGGCCTGAAACTGACATAAATTTTCAATGTACGTAATTGAAAAGAGCAGACGTGTGTCTTTGAACTTCTTTTCTGGGCGCGTGAAAACAAATAAGTGATAATAGTGTTGATTATGTCAAATGACATTGTTTATTTGCCTTTCAAATTCAATCACATCCGAATGGTTTTAGAGGCAATTGTCAGCCAATTATAGTCAGACGTTTTAAATGCATTTCACTATCTCGGGAAATAACGTGTGTAAAAAGCCGAATAATCATTTTATAGTAAAAAAGACTACAGGATAATTAACGACTGCTTTCATGAAAACTTTCTTTTTCAAAAAACAAGTGATACTTTGCTAATATATTATATTATTCAGAAAGTACGAAAGATTTCTAAAAAAGAAAAGTACAAGAATTACTGCAGAAGGTTGTAAAGGAAAGTGAGAAGAAAAGACTAAGCATCAACTGTAAGAAAACATAATTTATGATTGTCAGCAGAAGGAACATGCGAATTACAAATCGGAGATGCCAAAATTAAAGTACAAAAATTTAAATACTTAAAGCACTTTAATATAGGATGGAAAATACAACACCCAAGCAACAAATGCCTTCCAAATGTTAAGCAACGTACCAAGAAATAGGAAGATTTCAATGGAAACAAAGAAAAGAGTACGGAACTGTTATGAAATATGCCCCCCTCCTATATAGTAGTGAATGCTGGAAATTCTCATCACAGATGGAGAAGAGACTTGGGGAGCAGAAGTCTTTTTCTACAGAAGGATGCTGAGAATACCATGGACTGAATGTGTGAGCAACAATGAAGTTTTAGAAAAAATGGAAACAAAAAGGTCACTTATACATAGCATCAGAAAGAAACTGATAAAATTTCTAAGGCACATAATTAGAAAAGATAGATTAAAAGATTTAACACTCACCGGACATATTGAAGGCAAGAGGAAAGCAGTGCATGACGTGCCTAATGAATTTGTTTAAATGGTTGACAGAACAGGGATTATGACATATAGTAAAAATTCAAACTTCATTAAGGGCTATAAAGGAAAGGAAATTGTGGGGAGCAATGATCGCCCACATCCTGAAGGGTCATGGCACATAGAAGAAGAAGAAGTACAAACACTTACCGATCCAATATTTTAATTATATTACAAATAAAATTTTGTGCCTATGTACCAGCACAACGATGCTACTTTTTAACGTTGTCGACATCGAGATTGATGCAATTTCCCCATCGGCAAAAGAGTGCATAAATATGTTCGTCGAAGAACGTGGCGTCAACTGACTGGAGCCACATTTCCACCTCTACAATAATAGTGTCATCACTGTGAAACGGTTTCCTGGCTGCACATCGCGTTGTTTGACGTTCTCTCCGAAGCGAAAGACATTTGAAAACTTTTAATGCCTCCAATACAAGACTCAAGAGCCAATCGAGGCAGAGGGTTACTGTTAAAATGGTAATGAAGAATGAGGCGTGTGATATGAATGGAAAAGGAGTTAGTAGGAAGTGAAGATTAGGTGTATGAGAAGGATTAATAGCAATTGACAAAGAGGTCAAGATTGAAGTGTTCAAAGAAGCGCCCACGCGCAGGTCTGTTCCTTAATGTGTTATTTCTTGAGAAAATTTGCATGACTGGAACTTGTAGAATCTAACTCCTACATTTCAGTGGATCACAACTAAGTTTCCATAATGCTGTCATTAAACAACGTCCTGATTGGACAATTACTATGAAAATTGTATTTTGTTTATCTTCACGTGCAAAGTTCTAAAATTTTGCATAGCTAAACACATATAGGCTTCAAACCAAGTTTTTCAGCAACTGACATATTCTGATTGGTCCATTAATGCCAAGGTCATGTTTCCGCCTACGCACGACCTGTTCAAACCAAAAAAGCGCCGAAAATATGAAAACGTGTTCTCGAGCCTATCACATGATTAAAAAATAAATACATATGGTACACTAGCACATTTGCGTTAGTAAGAAATTGACCGGCAATCATTCATGTCAGACAATTCTCAAATTCTAAGTTACTTCTGAACATATTTCCAGCCGGCAGAAAAAAGCACTCACTCACTAACTCGGACAGCAATCATTATTCGTTGAAACTTTATCAATATTAACTCTTGATAACGGAACTAAATTACAACATTTAAAGTTCACATCACCATTTCAACGTCATCTTCAAAACAAGGATTACGATCAAAGAGAGACAATTTCTGAAGGAACTGTGAATTGGAAAATAATTTACACTTAAAATTAAGCTCTCAAAAAACTGTTTAATTTTAACATACACTCACAAATATTCTCTCAACTTGCACAAATTTTCACCCCAAAATTTATTCAACACACATTCTTTCCTCAAAACTTTAATTGCTATTTCAAACAAACTAGGAAAGAACGTTGTACTAAATTTGAACTTCTAAAAACAAAACAGTTGTACTGAAATTTAAATGCAACAATAATTTCAATACAAAACATCAACACAGTTTGTATCACTTTTGCCACTGATAAAAAAATCTATCTTTGTTATTGCACTGATTTGTCGAATTTGTTATTTCTCGTGTTGTTTATTGTTTCTTGGCACATTTGTTGAAAGTAAAGATAGTAGAGACTGAATTGAGGCCGTTCGACACCCTACAGATTGGAGACCCGACGTTCAATCCTCTACAAACGTTCCTCTCACATTTGGAAAACGGAATAGATGACTGTGATTCGACATTTTTGAGATAATAATGATTTTATGATACAAGTATAACTATTTAACCCGTAGCTGGGAGAAGAAGAGATGGATTCATACGTTTACCAAGAGTATTTCCACGTAAGTGAACATAACGAATCCGACCGGAATTCGAACTCGGCTCTCCGATTCATTACACTACCCGACATCCAAGCTTACAGCACCTGGTATTCCCAAGCGGTCACCCATCTAGGTAGTGACTAGGTTCTCCGTTGCATAACTTCGGTGATCGGACGAGAACCAGTGTTTCGACGTCTGTAAATGTCTGAAATGGAAAAACTAAAGAATATCTCTCATATGTATATTTACTACAGTAATAACGATAGAGTAGCGTTGCCTACAATGTTGCATCTGTGGAAAAATGACTGCAGAGGGGAGAATAAGTCTCATCCCTTCTCACAAGAACTCAAGGCTGGAAAGTGACGATTGGGTAGTTCCAGTCCATATATGACAGCAATACTTCATTTTTGGTCTAATCTAACTCTTGTAAATATTGGGCTCATTACTTTTCTATGAACATTGATATGAGACCGACGTAAGGCGGAATGTGAACTCTTTTCATTTCATCCGTTTTTCTCCAAGTTATTAACAAGTGAACAATTTTGTGTCAATGTAAATACGAAGTGTAATTGCAGAGTATTTAAACTTCACTTTATTCCTTTGTATATATGGCGACGTGAGGACATTTCATAAAACATGAGTAAAGAAGAAAATATGAAAAAATGAATTTAAAACAGCAGTTGTTATTTATTATGTGCTCTTATAACGAAATTAAAAAAAAAAACACGCATAGAAACACGTTTACACACATGTATATTCAATATGAGTGTAATTTTAAAAGAATAGAATATATATATATATATATATATATATATATATATATATATATATATATATATATATAGAATAAGAATATATATATATATATATATATACTATTCTGGGACACACATACAAACATACACACACAGACACACACACACACACACACACACATATATATATATATATATATATATATATATATATATATATATATATATATATATGTATATTACTCCTGTTCTTTGATAATACGAATGGGAGAAATAGTCTGGTTGCATATGTTTTATTATATATATATATATATATATATATATATATATATAAGGGGGAGATTGAGGTGGGGTGAGTTATTGAGATTGGGGTTTGCTAAATTGATTTTGAAAAAAAAGGTTTTTAAAAATTGTCAAAAGCTTATCGTAAATACCGATAGGAAATTGTAAGTAAAAAAAAAATGTCCCTCTTAATTTTTAAAACCAAAACTTTTCATCTATTTATTTATAACGGGGAGACTTTCTCGAAAATTACTTCGTCTCCCGTTTATCTCGTCTTCCCAAAAAAAATTTAACTATTTTTCTTTCTAAAAAAATATTTTGATATATTTTTGTTTTTCCTTTCTTTCCTTTTCCTCAAAGCCTCCGCAACTTGTTAAAATTTTAAAACCAGTGTACAGGCACATAATGTTGAGACAAAGTGTGATAGACATACAGGTGTTAGGATGGATAAACTATGTCTACTGAAGCCGAACTGAAAATAGTAAGAAAAAAAATCTATCACGCTTATCTAACTTGCGAATATTGTATCAAGAGAAATGGTAAAAATACAATTATAATACGGCGCCTGCTGTAGAGCCAGCCCAGTCGATGGTGTCTTGAATATGCTGACTGCATATTCTGCAGAAAGGTACCCACCCCACAAAAAATAAAAGAGCCTATCTACCAAGTAAATGTTTATACACTGAAACATAAACGTTCAATGTTTACCTATATATGAACTAAGTAAATTATGTACCTCCACTTTTTCGCTGAAAAAACAGCAAAGCATGATGAAAAAAGACCCCAAACTTAATAAATTAAAGTTTTATCGTCAAAATGTTTATATTATTATTAAGAGGAAAGACCAAAAAATTTTTTTATTATTTTATTAAATTTTCTAACCCTTTCTAGCACGTTCGAAATTTCTGTTAAAAATCTTTTTTCTTACGTCAGCGGTCGACGTAATATTTACGATTAGTGTTTTTGCCCTTTTTTCCTGTAAAAAAAAAAACATATTGATTAGGAAATTCTTGCAAAAATCAAATAATTGTCAGAATTAATGAAACTTTCAGAACTTATTCACAAATGAATGAAATTATTTTTAAATTGTTTCTTTTAGAAAATTTTATATAATATATATATATATATATATATATATATATATATATATATATATATACATTTTACCCCCCAATTACTTAATTTCACGAAATTTCGATAAATTAAATTTTCATCAGAAAATTTTTATTAGTAAGTTTAAAGCAGGACTCCTTGGAGAATGTAAATCAACTTATTCTTTTTTCAAACCACTACCCATCTCCCGAAAATCTGCTCGAATCATGAAATAAGAATGCAATAAAACAATGACGTTATTTAATTAGAAAAGCTCTTAAACGCTGTTATAAATAAGATTTATTAAGGACACTGTTGTCATAAGAAAAAAAATTCAATGTATGATGAATTTTTACAAGAATTGTTTGCATTTTTTTTAATTCTAATTATAATAATTTATAATATGTAAATCTTTTAAAATTCTACATTACTTTCTTCCGGTTATGTGAATTTTTTAATAAGTAAAAACTATATTTACTAATCAAAAATTGAAAAGCTTAATACAAAGTATTTTGCTTCAAGATAATTTTAGACTTTTTTATGTATATAAAATATTGCGTAACGTGCCTCTGTTTGAAAGTATGGTCTACGTTATCAGAAAATAAGAGCGATGACTATAGTAAATTTAAAGTCAACATTCATAAAATTAGATTACGGAGAATATTTTGCAACATTTTTGAGATTATTAAGTACTTAAAAATGATGTAAAAAGGCGTTCACCCGTCATTTTATTCTCAATTATGTTTCAACAGTTAAAGTCTCCGTAGAACAACAATAGAGGTGTTACCATATTTATCAGCACTTGTTAAGTGATTTACGAGCGGTGATAAGCGCGTAATTACCGCTACTGTTTGTTTTAAAAATCCATTTCTCTGTTATTTTAAACTTAAAGTAAATATTTTTTTCTTTCAAATCAGATTAATTATACTTTAAATCAGTTAATATTCCTCAAATAAAGTTTCAGAAAAGTATATTTTATTTTTTGGAAGATTTTTAAAACTGAGAATTAACTATTGTTTATAAATGTGTCAAAATGTGTTAAAAATAGCCGATTTTAATGACTTTACTGAAAGCAACAAAAAAGTTGAGATTCCAATATATTGATTGGAATTTCAATTCAAAATAAACCAGAGTATTTTGCTTACTGGAAATAGTAAATTTAATCATTTAACTTTCAATTAAAGCTAAAAAGTAAGTTTTATTTTTTTTTTTTTAAATGCATTTTAAACCTTAGGTATCGAAAATTAGTGGAGGTACCTATAGTAAATGGGTACTAATTTAGCGTGAGGTCTACCCCAGTTTCTGTAGTCTACGCTGTGAAATGATCTTTAGCGTGCTGTCTACATTTCATGGTATGAATTTATTACCGGTGTTTAAATTTTTTACCCTTATGACCTGAGTGCTCTTGACCGGTCAATATAAAATGACCTTTGCCATGCGGTCTAATTTTCATGTGCTTCCCTTATTTTTACCTTTTTAACCTGAGTACTCCTGACCGGACAGAATAGTAGAATAACACATTTTATCCACTACAATGCTGTTAAAGGCTATTATAGTGGAGGTAGGCTGCATATTGAAGTGTAAAAGTGTAAGTAGACTGCGCGCTAAAGTAGCAGGCCAAAGGTCATTTCACAGCGTAGACTACGGAAACCCCGGTAGACCGCACGCAAAAGTAGTACCAGTAAATGTTTACGATTAAATCAATCTGAAATATCGGTTCTCATTTGATTAACGATGTCAAGAAGTGTTGAGCCCGGTCAGTATTTAAATGAGGGACCGCTTGGAAACACTGGTTACTGTAAGCGAAAACCAGGTATAAAACCGGTTGGGAATGGGGCTAACAACTTCATATCGTAAGATTTTAATTGATATGGAAACCATAGTAACAATCTCTAGTTTCGTTGAGAGCTGTGGCCTCGTACTCTTCACTAGTTTCTACGGAGATACAGAAGGAAGAGGAGGAAGATGAAGTAAATGCTTAAAGACTCAAATATAAATGAGCAATATTCATCTCTCCCTGGACCTGAGAAATCCTTACTGACTCAAATATAATCGACCAATATTTGCCTATCCTCGACCGAAGTAAATGCTTACAGCCGTCAATAAGAGTGACCAATATTTACCTATCCTCTAACCAAGTAAATGATTACAGACATAAATATGAACGGTCTATATTTACACGAACCCAAACAAAGTAATTGCTTATAGATTCAAATATAAACGACCAAATATATTTTTTAATCGTTTCATCCAAAGCAAGGTAACAAAGCCACTGAGACGCAATAAAATAATAGAAATTAAGAAGACAGGAGATAACGATTAACATTGCATCTAAATTTTAAAAAATCAAATTTGACTGGAATGAAAGAAGCCGAGAGAGAGTTCCACAAGTGAGAAATACGAGAAAAGAAACTTACGGTTACATCTAGCCATTTCAAATATGAAATGATGAAATCTTGCTGCCAATCTAGTACTGCACCATGAAAATATTTATAGAAAAGCACAGGGAAGCTACATGGTGATGGTAGGAAAGTGACTAAAAACGAGATTCCAGGTCAATAATAATATGAAAAAAAAATGATTACAGCATTAAATAACACAATAAATGTCTACATATCATAAAACCAACCAATCCAGCCCAACCCAACCCTGGTATAGGACAATGGTTGCAAGAATGCTTCGCAAATTATTACTAATATAAGGATACAGTCCTAACAGAATATTGTACGTTTGATGCATTATGACGTTCGAGAAAATGTATTAGTTTCATTCACATAGAGCAATGGTTACCAAGCTAATTACTATTGTAGTAAATTTGATACTGTACCACGAAACATCTTGGGTAAATCAACATTGACTAATCGTTAGCAAGCTTTAGTCTGATCCCCTATCAGAGTTTCAAAATTATGGCCTTTTTTGTACCACAAAACATCCTGGGTGAATCAACATTGACTAATCGTTAGCATGGTTGAGTCTGATCCGCTATCACTGTCTCAAACATATGGCCGCATGCTTGTAGTCTTGTACAAGTCAAAGCTAAGCGGAGTAAATATTATATGTGAATGCTC